GCTAATATGGGAAATATATAATCTCCTATGTGCCTGTTACTGTTGTCACGGTGGTGTTTTGGATCAGCTGAAGGCTTTTCTGTGAGATTTCAGGCCAACCAGATCAAAGGACTTCATATTTAACCAGCTCTACCCCGAACGTGATTTTAAAACCAAGTCTAAAATGTCAAACAAGCCATTAAGGTGCAGAAATGTCCTCGCTCTGACGGGGTCGTCCCATCACTCGTCCTCAGTCACAGCCTCCGGTTCTCCAGGGTGATGGATGATCCAGTGAAATCGTAGTCCAGTTAGAGAAACTCTATCTGTGTCCTCTGTCTGCCCAGCTGTCCGTCACACACTCTGAGACACACACACACGTGCACACACACACACACACACACACTGGTCCATCTGTCGACCTCTCCTCTCTCTGGTCTCCGGGCTAATTAACTAATGTGCTGATCTTTCACTGCCTCTTTGTGTTTCTGTGTGTGTGTCACGGGGTTAATTGTTGGACTCGGCTTCCTGTACGTCTCCGCTGCCCGGCTGAAAACTTTATTATCCCTCCATTCAGTTTCTGTCTCATTAGAAGCCGTCGTTCACGGCGCTGTGCAGTCGCTGTGTGGAGGATCTGTTTTAGCTCAGTCAGGAGGACCTTTCTTAAATGACACTAAAAAAAAGACTCTTTCTTCTTCTTCTCATTTATTAATGAAGCTGCAGAGAGACGCCTGGACCTCCTCAGTCCAACATATTTGCTGACAGTATAATTAACAGGACAGGGCGGCTCCAGGTTTACTTCACGTTGTTTCTGTTCACGGGACTCGTTTCATTCCTCCCAAATTTTGCAGTGAAATTTAAGCGTCAGTGGATCCACCGTCATGCTGCACGTCAGAAAGCTACATTTACCACCTGCTGTTAATCTGATCATTATGCTCTCAATTGACCGTTGAGCCCTCGTGCATATCCTGGAGTCTTGTAAACTCCTCGAATCGACAATTAGTCACAAATACTCACATCGTTAGCAGGGATGACAACGAGAAGCTCTTTACACCTGAGAGGCTCAAAGCTACATTTCCCCCATTTTTGTCTGAAAACAGCGATTTATTATTTATTTGAAATACGTTAATTACAGCGAGGACGCACTGTGTAAAATATTTGTTTTGTAGAGATTTCCTCTCCTTTGGTCCCACAGGGCAGTCTTATTTCACACGTTTTTTATTTAAATATTAGTATTAGTATTTAATATTGTACAGTGTATATAGTGTGATTTGTTTGTTTTTTAATTGGTTTTTGTTTCTGTGTTTTTCAAAAGAGCACCTCTCTGACCTGAAATAAGACAGATTTCCACCCAGTTGTAAAATAATTTGTTCCCGCTTCTTCTCTGGGACGCGTGTGATCAGTTGACCACGATGAGTAAACGACTTGTCAGCACCATAAATATTAGTCGGTTAAACTAGTTCATATTTTGTTGATGTACAATCGGGCAAAGTGCAGCACACATTAGTCACTTTTAAAATACAATGAAAGAGTTAAATGGATTAAATACACACACAGACTGTTTAACCATATTTATTAATCTGTGCTCGATTTGAACTGTCTTCTCACTTCTGTGGACTTCCTGCACTCGGCCAATCAGAAGAAAGAGAGCGTTCAGAGAGGCAGGCCTTCAGAGAGAAAAATCATAGACTGTATATAAAGAATGACTGTAGCCATCTGATGTCACTGCCTGGTTCAAGAAGTTCTGTTGTGACATTTTGAAGCTGTCTGTTTATTGGCTAATGACGTGTCAGGTTTTGACCAATAAGCATATCCTGCTCTGTTCTTCTTTCTCACCCTGATAATGTCAACAATCGAAAATATTGTATATTCAGACTTCAAACTAGTGACTGAATC